AGCAATTAATGATTATAGATGATTGATTATCTCTGCAATTTTATAATAGTAATAGATTTCTACACATGATCGGCGAAACACGAATTAATACTATTATTATTAATAAAAATTACTAATCGCAAAATAAAAAAATCTATAAAAATCCAACAAAAAAAATTAAAACAATTATTGAAATAAATGATAATTTCTATATCGAATTTCAATGAAGAAAATCAGGATGAAGAAGACATCGAAGAGACATCTCCTATTTCAAGTCAAGTGCTTTATTGGCTATTGAAAAGGTAAACTTGTTTCATCTATTTATATTTTATCAATTCGTGTAACCTTAATTAATATATATATAATGAACATTTTCAAAACAATAATTATTTCCTCACATAATTAAAAGTATTTGTTCGTAAGAGTATTTTAAATTAATTTTTAAAAAGTAATTCTTACAAAAAATAGCGTCAATTGGACGAACAAGAGCAAAATAAAGGTATAATTCAAGAGAATATTAATTTTATATTGGGCGAATGTGTAAGCAATTATATTAGATTTTTTTGGGGTCTCATATATTAACATTGTCGGATTTTTCTAATAAAAATTAATTATTTTAGAGTACTAAGATACAAGGCGAATGCTCAGAAGATAGCTTAAGTGTATATATCGAGGTAGTTAACATTTTACAACGTTTAGATTGAAGTAAAAACTCCTATAGCATCGGGAGTGGTTGATCTTACGGGGAGCGAAGATCCATTTGCGAAGCTATTATCTTTTGGAGCAAAACAAATTTATCGAGATATTCATCCCATATCAAGGTTGGAAAATTTACTGGTCCATTGAAAAAAGATGGATTTGGACTGGTCCATTGTCATTAGTAAAATACTAAATATGGTTAAAGTGTTACACTAATGGACCCAATGGACCACCAATAGACCATCAATGGACCACACATTTGCCAACCCTGTTCCATACTATCGAATCACCCAACCAAATTAGCACAATTCGTAAGCTCATATAGCGATTTTAGAATCGATTTCGATCCGGCATTATTGCAACCTATAAATTTCCCTAAGGGAGAAGTGTCGCTCGAAACTAGACGCATTTTAATGACTACTTTCGATTTATTAGAAGGATTGTAAGTTAATAACGAAACTTCGAACATTTTCATATTATTAACAACCTACTGAATATTTCAAATTCTAGGCGTCATATTTGACAGAAGATGATTATAGTGAGAATGCTTATGTAATCCATGCGGTATCGAAAGTACTGAATCCGCTCTTTACACATTCTAAATGGCATCTAAAACGTGCATGGTCTGAACAAATGAGTAAATCTTCACAGAGCAGAAAAAATCGAATGGGATCTATTAATTTAGGGAAAACCCCGATCTTCAAATTTTATTGAAAATTGGACATGAAGGAAAATGAGCTAGTTCTAGTAGAGATTTCGCGAACAGGATAAAGAAATATTGTTTCGATGAACGATATAATATTTTTTTCGAAAAGAAGGATGGTACTTCTTCCAGAGCAAGAATAATACGCCACGAAATGGGAAAAATCCCTATCTTAGGGATTCAAGTGATAGGAGAACGCATATTCGTTTCCGTGTTAGATCTATTCGAAGGTGCTTTTTACCGGGTTTATCGAATTTGTGAGATTATTATACCTTTACGAATTTCCTCACGCCAGATTGTTGAAGAATTTTTGAAGAGTGCTCTAGAACTAAGAAAAAATTGTTGGAATGTTATTTTATTAGTGATTGATTTATACTTCTGACTTTATATTGATTAAAGTTAAATAATAAATAAACCGTATAAATTGTCTCTATCACTCACTTCGATCAAACCCGTCTATATAATTATTGAATAATTGATAAACATTCGTTTTACAAACTTGATTAACACGCATTTCGATCAAAGTCGCCTATATAATTATTGAATAATTGATAAACGTTCGTTTGCATCTTTACTAACACTTGCTTCGATCAACCCCGCCTATATAATAATAATTATTGAATAATTGATAAACATCCGTTTTGCAAACTTCATAGATCTTGACTAACACTTACTTCGATCAAACCCGCCTATGATTGATAAACATTAGTTTTGCAAACTTCATAGATCTTGACTTTGACATTTGCTTCGATCAAACCCGCCTATATAATTATTGAATAATTGATAGTAAAAAAACGTTGATAAATGTATTATACAAACAGCTTTGTAGATCTCGACTACTTTAATACTTATTTCGATCAAACCCGCCTATACAATTATTTGAATAATTGATAGTAATAAAACGTTGATAAATATATTATACAAACAGCTTCGTAGATCTCGACTCTTTAATACTTACTTCGTTCAAACCCGCCTATACAATTATTTGAATAATTGATAGTAATAAAACGTTGATAAATATATTATACAAATAGCTTCGTAGATCTCGACTACTTTAATATTTACTTCGCCTATGTAATTATTGAATAATTGATAATAATAAAACGTTGATAAATATATTTTACAAGCAGCTTCATAGATCTCGACTACTACAATACTTACTTCGATCAAACTCGCCTATATAATTATTGAATATTTGATAATAATAAAACGTTAATTAAATACATTTTACAAACAGCTTCATAGATCTCGACTTTAAGACTTACTTTGATCAAACCCGCCTATAATAATAAACGTTCGTTTTGGAAACTTGATTTGCAAATAGATCTTGACTTTAACACTTACTTCGACCAAGCCCGCCTATATAATTATTTGAATAATTGATAAAGCACTCATTAAATATATTTTACAAAAAGATTCGTAGATCTTGACTTTTAACACTTATTTCGATACAAGCTGTTCAATAATTGATAAACGTTTATCAGTATATTTTACAAACTTGCTTTGGAAGCTTCGTATGTTTGTATTAACAGTCTACTTTTTCTGTTGAATTTTATTTTTTTTAGATTACACAATAAAAATTATTATGGAATAAATTTAATCCAATGAAATGGTTGGAATCCCATATTTTGCACAACTTGAAAAAAAATTGATATATAAGTCATAGAATTGGTTTAATAATATCGACTGGGGAAAAGTCATGCAATGATGAAGTACCGAATATGGTCCCCTGTGTCCGGCTCCCTTAGGTGCAATGCCTCACTTTG